GCTTGTTTCCCCTGAACATGCCCTTGGATCCTTCTATTAGGATGCAGATACTCCCACTCTTCCATCTGTATTCCTGTGCAGAAGCACCTTTTCAGTAATAAAAGGCAACACTGGCACTAGAAGTTCCCTCTTCAGCGGTCACTTTTCTTTGGGCCTCTTCTCAAAGTTAGAACAAACTGTTAAATTGCACAAATATTCCAACACTAGAAGCATAAAAGCCAGGAAACCCCTAGTTAAACTGTCAGCCACCCCTTGCAATTTATCATTTCACTTCCTCTGCGTTACCTCTTCCACATCTACCACCCACAAAAAACACATGCTTCCTCCCTCCACCTCCACACAAAACATTGCATACTTCACTCCAGGCACGTGGAGTGGTTACAGAGGGAGGTTTTGTAACTGATTGGAATGTTGACTTGGTATAGTCTTGAAGGATATTATTAGTGCATACAGCATAGATTATAGCTGACTATATTTGTGTGTCACGTAGGAAGACAGAGGGAACAGTTTATAATAGAATGTATTGGCTCAGATGTTTAATATTTATTAAGTGAGAAACATGGGATGTTGTGGGTTCTCTTAGCAGCCAATGACTGTGGTCAGGTAGCACTGCAGGGTTTGAGCAGAGGGAAGAGGTAGCATGAGTGTGGTGGATGTGGGAAGGAAAAGTGATGGATAAAATCAAGGTTGTGTATGCAAAGAGAGGCTGAGACCTTAACTAGGAATTTCCTGGCTTTTAAGCAGTTAGTGGATTAATCACTTGAACAGCCTGAATTGTTTTTTAAAGACATTGTTTGAAGAATTAGTCATTATAAAAAAGTGCTAAGCAGTACATTAAGCTTTATTTATCTTTTCATTAAAAGCTTTACCTCTTCATTGCCAAACAACTGTAAGTGTTAACGGATGGATCTTCATAAGCATTGTGAAATAGGCAAGTAACAGCCCCATTTTGCAGGTTGAATAACCCAAATTAATGGTTTACTCCAGAGCACACCAATTAGTGGAAAAGCTGGGATTAGAAGTTGTAAATTCCAGAGTAACCCTGCCTCTTAAGCAGCTACAGCTGAGATTTAACATCCCACCAGCACTGTATTAAGGTTAAGTTGATCCTTCAACTGTGTTCATCTTTAATTATCTCCTCAAAGCTACCCTTCACCAGCCTCCCCCAGGTTTCAATTTGTTACAAGGATGAACTCAGTGCTCTCAAATAGGAGAGATTTTATTGCTGCAAATAAGTTTGTGTACCTGAGATGACTACATCCCAACCCGCCTCTTTGTTGCTGATCCTCCACCTTCTGTCATTTAATTTAGTATTTTATAAAGTATATATATTTTTAAAAAGGGGTAAGTACGGGCAGGTGATAAAATTTCTGGGTGTAAAAAGTACAAAAATAAACTGTAAAACTTAACACCAAAATTCAGTTCTCCAAATGTCAGTTGTGTTGATGTACCCCGCCCCCAGACTTGTCTCGAGTACCTCTAAGAGTACTTATACCACTGGCTGAGAAACACTGATTTAATTAAGTTGCTCTCTCCCCTTCAACCTTCCCATTGCACAATCTTCACTGCTTTCACTTTATTTCCTTTACTGCTCGGCTCTCAACTTGCTTTCTTGTGCCTTAATGTACACAATTTTCATCCATTCTTAGTTCCATTTCACCCTGTGCACGTGATCCCATTCCACTTATTCACTAACTTCTCTTAATCTGTCCAAACTCAAAATTACACCTGCAATATTTCCACCTGGCTGTTATTCCTATACCACCTCAAATTCAGTGCCGTGAAAACTAAACTGCATCATTTCTTGAAAACTTTGATCTTTAAAATTTCACTACAATACCTCAAAATGTCATATTCCATTTTCTCCTCCATGCTTCCCTCCTCAATTAAATAAAAAGTCCCATAATTACATCTCTCGCTCAAGTCCAACTCTTTCACTGTTGTCATCTCAAACCCCCGCAATGAGAGTCTGTCCAAGATTCATTCATCCCCAATCCAACAAATGAAATATTTTTTCTGAACTTTCATGGGAGCATAGGAGGAGATGCATACAAATTTCTATCCTTATTTCAAGGCCTTGCACAACTCATCTGTCTACTACTCTACTCATGTCTTCTCATTCTCTCCCACTGCCTTAATTACTCAGACTTCCTCCTAACCAACCTTTCTGTATCTTCCTCTTACACCACGCCACACACTTGAACAAACCCTTCAATCAAACCCACTAAAAATGCACTTCTACAAAGCCATTCAGCAATGACACAGCAAAAATCTGTACTTTACCAAGCTGGCAATCATCCATTTGTACATGACAGAGCTGAGCTAGATCTACATTGTAAGCTTCCTGGGGCAAGAACCAAGTCTCCTCATAAGATTGCACACTATGATCACATATTGCACTCAATATAGCAATACCATTTATCTAGGTTCAGATTTACAATTTAGCATACATACCTTGGGATGAGTTTTTGGCAATAAGCAATACAAGTATAAACAAATGTTTAAATTCTTAATTCAGTCAAGGCAGATACTTTAAATTCTAAAAATACAGATTGCCAAGGCAGAAACAGCCTCTTTAACAGATGTACACACCCAAAGATACTAATTTGGGGACAATTTAATCAGTCTGATGAATTTTAGAAGAGCGCACCTACACTAGCTCCTACTTAAAACAGAACTCTGCATATGCCATAACTGTTAAGACACACTTCATGGACTAAGGAAGATTTGAAGCTAGCAACAGACAGGAACTCTTCAGCATAAAAGCTAATTAAAAACAGTAAGTGTGACTAATGAGAAAAGATTTTTCATGGAAAAGCTTCAAGATGAACAATGCCAAATCCTTTAAGTCACACTCAAACTTTTTTTGTTGTGGTTAAGATGGCTATGCCATCATACTTTATCTGAACTATCACCTTCACAGATGAAGAGGATCCTGAGCACTGGTAAGTTTTACCTCTTTATAATTATTTCTAAAGACAAAATTATGTTTCTCTTCAACTTCTTGTGTTGGACCAGACTCCTTTTATAGTCATTCACACTTGCCTCATCAACTCCCCCACATCTTGTTAACACAGGTGGCAACCAGTCTTGGCAGGAATTGTACAGCATTGCTACTAAACTGGACCACAATATTCATACCACCTGAATACTCACCCTATGTATGTTCTCTAGAAGCTAGTCTAGCCTCAGGGAAACAGTTTTTGCACAACTTATTGTAAATCATTTTACACAATAGCCCATAAAAGCTTAGGAGACATCAGTCTGTTTTCTAATAGGGGATTTACTTTTAAGACTTAAAATACACAAATCTAGGTTAATTGCAATTGTAACCAACCTGAAAGTGACAAATCAAAAAAGAGAATGCTAGCCTTAGTTTACCTACAGTGGAAACCAAACAGTGCAAACTTTGTTACCCTATCAGCTTTAACTTTGAAACAAAACAAAAATTCACAATATCAACACAGGTAGCAGAACTTTGTAACTTGAGATTTACTAAACAGAGTTAAACAGAATTCCTGTATCCAAGACTGAAGTGGTTTAACTTTTATACACGCAAATCCAATACCAAAGGCAAATACAGAACAGCAGAATAGCCATAAAAGAATAAAACTGATGAAACTTCCACTGGGTTATCACACTGTTTCTTTTGCCATCCCATATAAATACCTACCTCACCTAGAATCAAGCTATTCAATCAGTCCATATCGCCAACTGAACTTCAACAAAATATAGCCAATTACATGACACACTCAAAATGAATCAAGAATATACAGAAGGAATGCTTGCAACACTGCTTCAGATTAGAATATAGAAGAGTGGTTTAACCCCCCCCCCTTTTTTTTTTTTCTTTCCTCCACATTTATTCTGCTAGGAGAAATAATGCCTGCAATAGAAATTATAAGTTCCAAATTTCCCTAAATAAACTAAGAATTTCTTGACTTTATAAATTGTTAGTCAGTGGATCAATCACTTGAACAGCCTGAACTATGAATTGAAAAGGAAAATCTAAATCCTTTGAAGTCAACTATAAGAAACCAAAGTCTCTTGCAAATTACACTGTATACACAACACAGTCTCAACTATACTGTTATTATTTAGCAAGTGGAAGCCCATTGTTTCTAAGCATACAAAATTAAGTGAAATCACTTGTATACTAAAAAGAATTTTACAATGGATCAGTTATAAATTCAACATTTTTATTTCAAGTGTTATCAGAACTTCTGCTCTTTAGCATAGAGTAACACTAAATATTTCAGCCAGGAATGGCTTTTCCTAGTTTAAAGGCACAATGACAATTTGTATCTTCATATCAGTTACATTAAAAATGAAGCTTCCAATTGGTTATCACCCTGTGTTTGTGTCATCCTTAACATCCACCCAACCTAGAATCAAGCAATTCAAGCAGTCCATATCTCCACCTGAACCTCAACAAAAGAAAATAGCTGATTAAATTAATATAATTTTTTTTAATGTAATCAGGAACCTACAGATGGAATGCTTGCAGCACTGCTTCAGATCAGAATACAGAAGAGTGGTTTAAACTTCTTTTCTATTAACTTTGCTAAGCATTCTCTTAATAAAACCACCACTTAAAAACAGATCAATAAAATATTAGATATGAATTCTCTCCGTGACATCATTTAGAAGACATATCAATGTACCGAAGAGGAAAAATGATCTTGCAGTTAAGGCATTGGAATGAGACAAGTCATTCAGACTAAATTTCTAGCTCTGTTATAAACTCAGAGTGTAACCAATAAGTCAACCTTTCTGAATTTTACTTCTCTTCTCCACAAAGTGGGGATTGTACTTCCTTATGTTTTGTTTCAGCTTGATTTACTTTTCTTGGTTAAAAGTAAAAGCTATTGCTAGCAAGCCTACTTAAAAGACAAGTCAATGATAACAACCCTAAGGAGGCAGATTTAATTTAGCATTTAATGAAAAATAATACACGAACACCACATTACATTGACAGAATTAAGAAAACCACATCTTACCAGTTGGAATTCTCTGCGTCTATCATAGGCATGCTGGATTCCATTATCTGCCCACAGTGATTTTATTGCTGGAAGGTACTGTAAAAAAACCCGAGTCTCCACCTTCCCTTGTGCCACCATCGCTGACCGAGTATCAAATGCCATCATCATATCCCCATTTTTTTGGTTGGCAGGATCACCCCAAGGAATATGAAGTTTCTCTCGAGCATCTACGAGGACTCTTATACCTTGAAAAAAAAAAATTGAAAAGTTGCAGGATTAGATACTTCCAATATCTCATGTGTCTAGTTGTAACACTAGGTCCTGAGATCCTAGCTATTAAGGCTCTCCATCTTAGAACATGAAAGCTGACAATATCTGCCATCAGAAAATGAAGATCCTTATGAATAACACAACCAGCAATATTGTAAGGTCCAGATTACAAGGATTTAAAAAAAAAATCTTGTATGGACCATAAATAATATCCTAACCACCAAAGCAAGCAATATAAGCTAACAAATAGAAAATATCACAAGACCTATTTGTATGTAGCATTGTACCCCTGTTGGTCCCAGGATGATGAGACACAACATGGATGAGGGACAAGTGACAAACAGGCCTTGTAAAGTGACAAAGTGGCTTAAGTAATGTTTTATTGGACCAACTGTCAAAAGTCCTGTCTCTTCTCCCCTTCCCCGCCCCCCCCCAAAAAAGAGTGCTGTATAAATATTAAGCTCGTCTCAGAGAAAGTTTGTCCAATAAAAAGATATTACTTCACCCACTTTGTCACTTTACAAGGCCTATTTGTCAATTTTCAAAACTTTAAAACCAATTTATGGTAGTTGATTTTACCTGGCAAGAGCCCAAGATTTCAGGCCTATAAATTAGTTATGCTAAGCACCATTTCAGAATACAGTGAAGTAGGTAGGATCCTGCATCTCCTTATCCTCCAAACATCGTAACATGCTTAACAGATAAGAACATAAGAATATCTATACCAGGTCAGCAAAAATAGCCACAACCTGACATGTCAGAGGGAACAGAACAATTATCAAAAGGAATAAAACAAAACGGTAATCCACCCTCTGTTGGCCAGTCCAAGATTCTGGAAGTCGGAAGGTTAGAGACACCCAGAGCATGGGGTTGTAGCGCTCACCATCTTCCAAGCACTTAATTCTTTCTTTTACCTACTATCCAAATATACTTTGTCTTCACAGCACACACTGGCAAAGAGTTCTACAGGATGACTGCGGGCTGCGTGAAGAAACTCTTCCTTATGTTTGTTTTAAACTTACTGATTATTCGTGTCATTGGGTCACCCATGGTTCTTGTGTGCACAAAGGGAACCCTTATTGACTTTCTTCACACCATTCGTGATTTTATAGACTTCTATCACCCTTCTTCAGCTGTCTCTTTTCCAAGCCAAATAGTCACAAACTCCTAATCCAGAGTTTCTTAAACTGTGTTCCGTGGCACACCGGTGAGCTGTGAAGCAGTCTGAGGTATGCCGCAGAGATATGGTGACCATATGTCCCCTTTTTTCTGGGACAGGTGCAGATTTAAAGGAGCAACTCCCTTCCTCCACCCAGGACCCAAGCAGCTCCCTTGGTGCTCTGCATGGGCAGCCAGAGCCGCTGACGGTGGCACACAGTGTCCAGAGCTCTGAGCTCCCATGCAGCACGCGCTGCTGTTTGGCAAGCCCCCACCACCATGTGGCCCTTCCCTCCCGCTGCAGGACTGCCTCCGCCATGCGCGGCCACCAGCACGGCCACGCCGCCTCCTCCTCCATACACAGGCAGCTGCTGGAGGGGTGCTGGTCAGAGCTAGTGACCCATTCCTGGGAGCTGCCACCAGAGTCCAGGCAGAGACTGCGCAGAGCCCGGCTGGAGCGCTGCAGAGCTGGAAACATTCGGGCTCTGCCGGCGCACTCTGTGCACAGACCTTTCTCCTCCCATCCCTTCCCACTCCGCTGGTGAAGCTCACTCTGCCACGCTCTGCAAGCCAGATCTGGGAGGGTGGATGCTCTCTAACACCCCCCCACACACACTCTGGCCACACTCCTCCTAATGGGAGCCAAAGCTGGTGCAGGGACTGGAATGCTGCACTAACATTAGCACCACAGGCGGCCCAGCAAGTGGTCCTGCCTTGGAAGCAGCTGGGCCCAGCACTGCGGGGACTTCTGAGGCCCAACAGACTCCAGCCCCACAAACTAGACGGCAAAAGGTGTGGTACGGGGCTCAGAGAGAACTAGGGAGAAGGGGCGGGAGAGGAAGGGGCTTGTGCTGAGGGGAGGGGGGCACGGCAGAAGAAGAAAGGGGAAGGCATCAAGGGACAGGGTGGAAGAGACACAAATGCCAGGAGGCCAAGTGGAGACAATGAGGAAAAGGGCAGGAGGGAGGGAGGAGAGGTGTCAGTGGAGGTTGGAGGGGACAGGGTGATGATGGGAGAGGAGAGGGGAAGGGTATTGGGGGCAAGAGGAAGCAAGGGGAGGGGGAGGTGCTGAGAGAAGGGTTGAAAGGAGGGGTGAGCATGAGGAAGGCAGGGATGGAGCAAGTCATGTGAGGGCACAGAGGGGCATGAGAGGAACTGTGGCAGAGGTTGGTGAGGGGATGGGCATCAGGGAGAAAGAGGGCAAGGGGGCAGGAGCAGTGAGGGAAGAAGGAAGGACCAGGAGGGTGCAGGGGTAAGGGAAGGTACAGGTGCCAGGGGGTGAAGCAGAAGGGAAGACACCCACAGGGGAGAGACCAGCACCAAAGGAGAGAGAGTTCGGTGAGGAAGGACCAGGAGGGTGCAGGGGTAAGGGAAGGTACAGGTGCCAGGGGGTGAAGCAGAAGGGAAGACACCCACAGGGGAGAGACCAGCACCAAAGGAGAGAGAGTTCGGTGAGGGCCAAACTCATCCCCTATGGGTAAGACAGGTGGTGGGAAAAGTTCTTAGCAGGGGTTACTTTTACTTCTGGCCATGTGTCCATCTTGACCTTGAGAGTCAGAGGCATAGTAAACCGAGAACAGAGTTCAAATAGCCGTCCTTAAAAGGGGCAAGCTTCCTTTTTTTGGCACAACAAAAATCCTTGGTGTTCCCCATAAAAAAAATTGTTTGGTGTTCCTCAGTCTTAAAAAGTTTAATAAACACTGTCCTGATCTCTCCTAACATAGAAGCTAGTCCTCAGCCCTAATAATTTCAGTCACTATTCTCTAAATGTTTTCCATTTCCAATATATTTTTGAGATGGGGCAACCAGAACTGCATGCAGTATTTCAAGGTGTGGGAATACATGGCTTCATGTAATAGCACTGATATTTTATCTCTTTACTAATAGTTCCTAACAATCATCTTTTTCAGTTCCTGCTATACAGATACTTTCAGAGACCCAACCATCGTATGTCCTAGAACTCTTCCTTGAATGATAAACACCTGTTGGAAACAATCCTTATTACATAGATCCCATCATTTTCTAACAGCCATTACTTTGCACTCAACATTAAATTTCATCTGCCACTTTCTTGCCCAGTCACCCAAGTTTAGTGAGATTCCATTGTAACTTTCACAGTCAGTTTTGGATTTAACTATCTTGAGTAAATTTGTACCACCTGCACAATTTTCCATTTCACTTTTCATTTCCCTTTTGAGTGAATTTATGAATACATTGAACAGCAATGATCCCAGGATGATCTGAGGGTTCCAGCTATTTATCTGTGTTCATTGCGAAAACTGACCATTTGCATCTAACCTTTGTTTCCTATCTTTTAACCAGTTATCAATCCTGAGAAGACCTTCCCTCATTTGATGAAAGCTTACTTAGCTTGAGAGCCTTTGCTGAAGTTCAGAAAGCCTTTGATAATGTCCTGCATCACCCGTCTATACACTTTTTGACTTGCTTAAAGTAGTCTGATAGATTAATAAGGTATGATTTCCATTTACAGTAGCCATGGTGAACAGAGGATGTTCAGAAAGATCAGATATATAGCTAATTTTTACCATAGTTTCAGCCAATATGCATTGAAATTAGGCTTACAAACCTTTGAAATTAGGCTTACAAACCTTTAATTGCCAGGATCACCTATGGAACCTTTTTAAAAGATTGACACCTCACTCTCACTATCCATTCTTCTGTCTGATGTAAGCAATACATACCACAATTAGTAGTTCTATAATTTCATATTTTGAGTTTTCAGAACTCTTGGGGTGAGTACCATTTGGTCTTTGATAAATTAAACACAGACTTACAATCTGTTCCCAAACCTCCTATAGTTATGCCTGAAAGAGCACACACTTTAGTTTAGAAAATGTTTACCAAATGTGGCAATCAACATTTCAGAAAATATAGACTTCTATACTTAAAGATTAAGGCATTTGATTAAATCTGCATTATAATTGATTGGTGCCATTACATGCAGTTTCTCTCTCATTTTTCACTCTGATTTATCAGAGAAGAACGAACTAAGCAGCTCAAACTAGTGTTTTTATTTTAAAATATGTAAAGGCAGTATTAATTAAAAACACCACAACTGAAGACTAAATGCCACCATTAGTTTTACAGAGAGTGGAGAAAGTCTGAAAAGAGGAAATCAGCATGATGACGCAAGTACAGGACTCACACATAGGATCAAAATATCTTAATGTGAAAAATACTTTCAAGAAAAATATCTTTTATCACCACAAGGATAATAATTATACAAGCTACTTTAAAATGTTCATGCTCTTCAAATAATACTTAACCATCCCTTCCAGACTGGCTAATGAAAAGAAAACTAAAAGATGAGAAGATTAATCTGCAATCCTTATTTGCATACTGTCTTACAGCAGCAGAATCACCTGAATTTATAAACACACCTCTGTCTTGAACAAATATCTATTAGATACTCAAGGCAAGGGAAAATATTATTTAGTTTTTGCAACTCCTATCACATACTAGGCATCTGATGAAACATAGGCACTTGATGAAACAAAGACAGGAGATACATTTTTCAATTCAATTTTGGAATCTTGGTTCCTTTTTCAAAAGTGACTTTCAAAGGCTCTTAGTCTAGTTTTACTGAAAGTCAATGGAACTTCTCTCCTAAATCACAGGCACACTTTGAAAATGGAAGGTAAGACTCAAGCTTTTCAAAGTACATAAGTGATTTATCTACCTTGAAAACTTTACAGCGTAATTGGAAAAGGAGATGACTGAACAACAACATTTTAGAGGAACCAGGATAAGGAAAATAAAGGGATGACAGCAGTCAAAGGGCACGTTCATTTAAGCCATGTATACATTTCCATTATAGCACTCTGGCTCTGGAGGGGTCAAAGGTGAGTATATATATGTGGGCTTCTCTTAGCTACATCAGTCTGAGTTTCCACATTTACTATAATGCTACTTCTCCTAAATCAATTTGATAGGCTAACCTCCCAACTCAAACACAAGTCATTTCTCTTCCATATACAGTGCTTTCAAGAGCACTGTTTCCCTCCTTCCATTACTTCTCACAGCGACACGTTAGTCAGAAGTGGTGAAGCTGAAACCTAATAGACGGATGATTTGTGTACATGTTTTACATGAATAACAGGGGAAATGCTCAGAGCTCAG